GGGTAGGTATTGACAGCCTGTAGGTCATGCAAGACTATAACTGTAACTCATCACATGCCGTCATACCGTAGGAAGCCAAGAGGACCTGGAAAGGTGCCAATGGTACACGATTTCCGCAAGCGATGTGACTCAATACCCCCCTCAAGGGGGGTAGGTATTGACAGCCTGTAGGTCATGCAAGACTATAACTATAACTCATCACAGATGCCGTCATACCGTAGGAAGCCAAGAGGACCTGAAAAGGTGCCAATGGTAAACGATTTCCGCAAAAAACTGATTCTCTCCGTAAGGTCATAGCAGATGAATAAGATAAACTCGTGCAGAGGGTAGGCTCAAGCAAAGAAAGATTGCTACTATCGACCTGTACACAATTGCGCCGCTCTCGCATGGCAGTCGTGCTCAAGCCACAAACTTGAAAAGGTGACTAGGTTCGCTGTACCAGCACCAGATTGACTAGCAGGATTCACAAGGTGTCATCGTCCCAGCAAAAACCTGCAGCAAGTCAGATGTTCCAGAGGTTCGCAGTGCATCTCACATAGGGCCACTCTCCCCTAGAGTGAGCCATTAGCAGAAGCACTACGTCCCATCAACGCACCGAACCATGTTGGCAGGCTTTGCTGCACTCGGGCGCTCCAGACTGAACTGCAGGAAGCACAACTGGACAGCGCCAGTAGAGCTCACTGCAGTGCAGCCTGGTCCATGGCTCTACCGGGAATCTACCGCCCCTCCCGGAGAAAACGCAGAAACAACACAGAGCGAGAAGGGCCCTCCCCAATACAGCCAAAGAAAAGGCCACATGATTCAAACAAACCAAACACAAAACGAATTCAGAGGGGGAACAAGGAGAGGGGGGGACGGTGACAAAAAACTGCCCCACCTCGAACGAATCCTTAGTCACTACCAGATGAGACCAATGTAGTTATGGTGAAACGACAGAGCTATTATGCAGAGCGGTAACCTCGGTATCCAGGCAACAGATGAAGCAATCAACACAAAAACCAACCAACAGAAACCTGCCATCATGGGGGGAAGCAGAAAGGGGGGAGCGGCCAAAACACAACACACACACAACACCACCAGCCACACAGAAGAAGCGAGGAGAGGAGCCAGGAGGCAGCAGAGGACAGCGAGAGAAAGGACACACACGCACCAGAGGGGGTACGAACGTGCCTTAGCGGAGTCCAAAAAGGGGCCAGGGATCATACGATGATGAATACCTCAGTGAGGGAGCACACAGCACCCCAACAACACAGGTAGCATGGTGTAGAGGGAAAGATCCCCACACAGGGCCAAGGGCCTTTGTTGCCATGAGACATAATGAAGAGGGGAGACAATGCGCAACAAACACTCCACACACAGAGGCAAGGCAACCAGGCCGTCGCCGGAAGCAACGATACCCAGAGGGAGGGACCAGTAAATCCTGGGCCAAGGCGCCAAAGAGGACCATCCGAGGGGGAGGGAGGGCCACGTCAGGCAGGGAACAGGCAACAAAAACAGAACCAACAAAAACAAGGCACCACCACCTAATGTAGCTCTGCTAGGGGCAAAATCTAGGGATTAGTCAACGAATTCAAATACCTTAACTAATGGGAAGGGTGGGAAAGTGGGTGTCTCGTCAATACTAAATCTGGGGATCATAGCAACAGTTTCATTACCCATCGATGATTGTCAGGCAAAGGCTGCGAGAGCGTGCGCTCGTGCAATAGGCTTCATGGTGGAGGCGACCTAAGTATAATCTAAGCTCTCGACTGGACAGCACATTCTAAACACTAGTGCAAAGAGAAAGCATGCTGCCCGATCTGTTATGCTTAAGTTGGCACTCACACACAACTATAAATGTGGCTACCAACTGTTGGAGAGGTCTGAATAGGTAGGGGCCAGGCATGTACAGCATGATGAAACTGACAATTATAAATGAGGAAGAGCTGTGTCCCCTACTGCATACCAGTGCACCTGTCACGTCTTTGGACAGACACACTGGTATGGACAGTAACCTTAAGTAGAAATGACGAAAAGGACCAAATAGAGATTTAAGTCAACTCCCACCACCGTTGTTGATGAAACAAATGCCAAAAACTTTATGAGGGACAATGCGGAGTGAAACAGAAAAGAGACAAAAGAGGAAGGCGAAGGAGGGGTGGACACAGAAAGGGTATAAGTGATGCGAAATGGGGTGAGCTGGGGATCATGTCATACCTCTCGTGAAATGTTCCAAATGATGCTTTTTATCCGCTGTGATAGTGTCGTTCCATTCGTTGGTGAGTCCAAACGAAACTGGGTTCACTCCTTGCTGAGCAATAGCACGCTGATGAAGCGCTCGGATCGCCCTTTGATGTTCGTCCAGATCTTCCGGAGGGACTCTCCTGCGGACTTTCCTGTCTGGGAAGTTTCGTTCTCGCAGGTTGGTTTGCAAGGCATGTCCCGCTACATAGACTGCAGGTTGCTGGAATAAAACACGCTCTGCAAATCTGTCGAGATGCACTGTCCACTCAGCAAACATATGGCTGTGTGACAGTTGATTCCTGAGTCGCGCTTCCGTTTGATGAAGGCTCCCATTGGTATGCCACAATCGCAAAAGACTGTAGTTGGAAGGCCAATCAAGTGGGCACAGTGTGGCTGTTTCTTTCCACTTTTCAGGTGTAAGCCCTGCTTGAGAGGGTATGATCACTTCCAGAGTAGTGCGATTCGGTCCCAGCGGTTGGAGACCTCGCATCATGTATGGTTCAACGAGCCCTGTGGTATATCCATGGATGAGCTCCTGGAAACATCCAGCCATTTGAAAGTCTTCATCCAATCCAAGGCGAAAACCAGGCATGTTTTTGGCAGCGAATTTAACTGCCTGGAGCAGCTGCTTTGCTCCTTCCACTGGAGTCTCGTCACAGGAACGTTTCGGGCACGTGATGTTAATTTCTTGTGGTTTCTGCGCATTCTCAGGAGCATTCTCGAGCAGTTTGGGAGCAATTTTGCTGGCCCAGCTAGCCGGGAACCATGCCAGTAGGGCAGAGGCACCACTCGTAAGGTCCACTAACCCGGTAGTGCGTCGATGCGGCCGATCTGTGACCAGGACTTTAACTGGGCCACTCGGCGCTCGACTCCGATTCACCTCAGAGCTCTCTCGGGCCGAGCCAATGAGTTCAGACAGGATGGGCCGAAACCAATAAGTGGCATACAACAGGCATTCAGTTTCTGGAGTCACCATGGATTCAGCCAGTCTCATCAACGAGCTCATCGCCTGGGCGAGCTTCTCTGCCAATCGAATTGTGAGAGCCCTTGCCGTCTGCAGGAGGACATCCTCCACACTGGCACTTTGCCCGCGCAACCACAGTTCACCGGCCACACTCAGCAAGATGCGCGCAAACTTTTCTTGGATGGCAGTCAAAGACAACGTCAATCTCGCCTGTAGCCACAGCGGCGGGAGAATTCCAAGGCTTTCGGGTATGCAAAAAGGGTTTCCGTTAGGTTGGACATTAGTAATTAGGATTGCTAGCTTGTCAGCTGCACTCACGATCTCGTCTTCAGAGGGATCTTCAGCTGCATCAGGTATGGGTGGGCACCACGCAACTGTAGGGTCTTCTGGATCACTCTCGTCATCGGTAGAGGCTGCTTCCTCATCCGAGGAGGGGTCATTCACTGTGTCTCCTGCACCCTCAGGGCTTGCGAGTTTCATAGCCCCTGGATCAAATTGGCGATCCAATGTGGCCAAGAGGTCCGGTTGCAACCGATGGGCATCGAAGTAATGGATACCCGGGATTACGACGAGTTGTCGATCCTGTATACCCACGTGAAAGAAGACCTTGTGGCCTCTATGTCGATGAACAAGTGCTGGGGACCCATTATAGGCTGCACATAGCCAGAGAGGAGATCTGTAACCATCAGCAGCATAACCATACAAGTATTCACGATCAATCGAGCAGGGGAAAAACCCGCTGGTCGTCAGCACATGGTCACGTGTGCGGGACTCTAGCGCTGCAAGGACATTAGGGGGAAGACGTAGCCTGTCTCTGCATGCCACAACCAGCCGATATCGTCGCCACGCTCGTGTGCCATTGGTGGTCACTATCATGGCAATAGCAAGGGGGGGTTATCTTGGGGAATAAAAGGTGCCTCTAATCCCCAGTCCAGTATGGCACTTTTGTCGCTGGGGTAGGTTGTAGGGCCATGGTACTGAATGTCTCGGCCTTTCAGCGTGAAGTATCCATAATGGTACACTCCTATTGTCTAAGCCATGCCAATCATGCCTGCCATATAGAGAGGCGAGACAATATAGGTATGTTCAATGGCTCTTGTGAGCGCTACAGTTGCTCTTCCATAGCAGTCCTCACGCTCGTCTGCTGTTGCACCCCTACGTCCTCCACTTAGAAATCCGACACCTGTTTGAACAATGACCGCAATGCGTGCTGTCGCCCCTGCAGCAGAGGAAGTGGTGGAAACTCTCAGCCCGCCATACCACGCGGACTGAAAGCCATGTTGGAGAAGCAAGTTGTGCACCGCCGTACGGTTGCATAAGACAAGCAGCTGCGAGGTCGCTCCCTGTTGCAAGTTGCGATAATAATTCTTCAGGTAGGTGCAGAAGGCAACCACATCCTCAACAGCTGCTCTTAGATCTTTAGGTGCATTCCACAGTACTATTGGGTGACCAGAATAAATTACACGAATCAGAACCATTCTTGAAGCCAAAAACAGCTTCAAAACTCCTCCTTCTTGGAAGCTTGATCTTGAACGGACATGGCAGAAGTACTCTCAGAAGAATGAAACTCGAAAAGGCTGCAGTGGAAAAAACATATAAACATTTTAGACGAGACAAGTTGAGTATAATATCTATCTAGTTGCCATACATGATCAAAACAAGATCATGTAAACCAAGGACAACACTATTTCCAGACAATGCCGTATTTCATATACCACACAAATCGCAACAATCCAGGCGCATTTTTCTCGGAGAGATCACGATCGATTCGGTGAGACAATATGTCTTTGGGCTTTGTAGGCATTTTATGACCTCAACCGCGAGTATTCGAAGCTTTCTTTTGCTTCTTATTCTTATATTCCAGAGCGTCAGAGAGAGGAAGTGTCCACAGTACGATTTTGCAGGTTTTCATGAATCCTTTTCGATCTAAAAGTGGACTGAAACCTTTTTCTTCCTCCAATTCCGCGACGAAGTTCATCAGCTGTTGCATCCACAGTTTCAATTGTTCCTGACTGCTCAAAGATTGCTTGTCCTTGCACTTTGCAGCAACATTCTTTGATGCATCAGCAAGAAATGTCACTCGCAAAGGGAACTGCTCTGGCAAAATATTTTCTCTCTTGATATACAGGATGTCAAATTGGCTCACTTTGACGATCCCTGTCATTGTGACATCAGCTACGACCGGTGAACCTTTCTTCGATTTTGTTACCTCCGCTTTGGGTTTTCGATTGTCCTGTAAAGTGTCGAAATTGAACACCAGCCATCCTTCATCAATCATGTGATCCCAGCTCAAAAAGCCGTCCACAGGCAAGCATTCGTTCAAGTCAAAGAAGGACATCACAACCCGATCCAGATGATCATTTGACTTGTTGAACTCGTGCTGCTGGTTCAGAGTAGTACAGCTCATGAAATTGCCCTGACCTTCGCTGTCCAACCACAAAAGCTCAATAAGCATCTGCAAGTTTTTCAATCTCCTCAGTTTCCGATCTACAGCCTCGAGTAACGGGTCTAAATCCTCTTTCACTTTCATATTCGCTGCCGAAATCTTGTTGTACAAATTGTAACCAAGATTGTACTGTTTCTGAAATGTGGAGAAACGATGTTTGCGAATTTGCTGGCTGGCACACAATGCCATGCCAATCATCTGATCGTCTGATAATATCTGCAGCTCCAGGGCATCAGAAATAATAGAAACGAAGTCAAATATCTCATTTAATTCCTTTTCTGAATCTTTCTCCGATTCTTTCTCCTCGGTTTCCCTCCCCGGATTCACATCCTGTGTTCCGCTTTTGCTTGGACGAGCTCTGTTTCCTCCGGGCGGGTTCCAAGCAAATGCCGGGCTAGCGGCCTTTGCCTTTGGCTCTGCAGTTTTTTTCTGCAATACCGGGTTCAACAGTTTCAGCTGCTTCAGCTGATTCCTCCGCTGATGATTTTCTTCATCCAGTCGACTGATATTTGCCAAGAGTCGGGGATTTAGAGGACAGAAAGGCTGTGAATGATTTCTCACCCATCGCATTGTGACGTTCAAACGTGCGTCTTGCTCGTTGACCAGATTCAAGGCGTCAATACGTCTAACTTCCTGTCGCATCAAGTCTTTCGAATTCGAAAACCACTCCAATTTTAGTTTCACACCGTCCCAAGTAGTCAAGTCGTCTGCACAAGCAAGAAGCTCTTTGATCTCCTGAAAACTTGGTACACCATGTTTGTAAGCTCTCTGAAACTTGCCGCCCATCACAAGAATTGTTCCCGGAGGCTGATACACAACAAACGCACGTTTGCCCTCGGTCTTCTCTTGTTTCTCTGGTGCTCTGCTGGAGATGATAACCAGCAAAGACCCGAGTCGGCAGGAGAAAGAAGTAATGGGATCTTTGTCCACATCATATCCTTCTTTAATGTCATCGTGAAAAGAGATTCCATGATTCTTGTTGTACGTGTAGCGGTTGATCAGCAAATGAAAACCTCAGCCGGACCAAAAGATTAAATTATAATGATGCCTTTGTCTTAAAAAATAAGAATAATAAGAAACATTATACATACATAAGCAAATAGACCCAAATTACTGTCGAGAAACTTCCAGATCGGCTATACCAAGAAGACGCATTGTCTTGAAGGAAATGTTTTTCAAAGAACTGCTGTATGGCCAATCCCTGCATCGAATGTCGTGCAGCATAGGTAGTACGAACTCTTTCCTGCTTGTTCTCGCCTCCAAAGGAAAATATACATTGACACGATCCTCTGTTTATGGAGGCACTTTCATAATACACCACCCTGTTGTTGCTGATCTGCACAGTTTTCCAAGGATTGTGAGGGTTGACTTTTCTCTCTTCGTCCAGCTTCATGTCAAAAACTTGTTGGCCAAGCATCGGAATCTCGTTCAAGATGTCTGTCGGACTTGAGCTGCTCATCTGGAACAAACAAGAGTGTGTTGTAGACCCCTTTTCCAAATTCCGTGACAGATCATCAATCTGAGTGTAGTTACTTCCTCTGCCAATCATCTTGCAGAACTGCAGCACATCTTCTGCTGTATGAGCAATTTCAGGCCAAGCGAGAGGCATTGCCATTTCGAGAGAGGTTAGCAAACAAGCTAAAGCAAATGCTAATGAAATTGTTCAATAGATTTTGCACAAGCCACTAAACTCAATTAATCATAGCAAAGTCAGTTTACTACCCGATCACGAACGATCCCGATCACGGATCAACTGACAGTGCAGGAATCAGCAGTAGGTGTCTGCATTGTTGTTTCTCATCGTTTCCCTTGTCGATTTTGACAATGTGACTAGCACAGCTTGACATAAAATGTAAACAACAGGTGAATATGTAAATGGTGCTGTGACAACAAGTAAACATCATGACTGATAAAACAGCAGGGCTCTTTGTTTTGTCAGGCAGTCGTGTTCTAAAAACGCGAACAAAAGACAGCCACTATTTAGTAGTTGTCCAATGCCATACGGTTCTTGTGAGCCATTGAATTGTCATATGGAAATCCCCAAATTGCAATTTTTAATTCTTCTTCATCATGCACTCGAATCCTGCTCTTTCTCTCGTTCTCGAAATCAATTAATTGGAGCAACCAAGAATATACACGCCTTTCTGGAGTGTGCGAACCGCGCTCTTTGGCTTGCTTCACAACTTCTTGTAATGCGTTGGGAATGAAATTGAAGCGTAGACACACATCGTGCCCTGCCTCTGCAGCTAATAGAGGAACATCCAGAAAATGTATTCTAAACATATCTTTGAGAGCAACAGAAGTGGGCTCCCGTTGTTTATTTTCGATCATCTCTGCAAACACCTCATCCGGCATTGCATCGAAATTGAGAACGAGCCATCCACGCTGCACGATCTCACTCTCAAGGAGACAGCCGTTTTCCAATAAAGTTTGCAAGGTGTTTAAATTCATGCTGAAACGCTTCATATAATTGCGTATAGAAGACCTCGGTATACTCGGAGAGCTAAAACATGACAGAAAAACTCCTTCGAATGTACTTTCCAAAAATAGAAGCGAGTCCAAGAACAGCAGGCCTTTCAGAAGTTTGCGTTTTTTGCGGATTCTTTCAGTCAATGCCTCAGACTGTTTTTTTGAAAGTAATTTATCGTTGCACATGTCGACAATGTCGGAGCTCAAATCTTGCAGCTTCTGAACCACAGATGTCAATTCGATCTCACGAGATAAACGAGCTTGTCTGGGTCCTCCAAAGTACTATCACAGAACAAACCATGAACCCCTAAATAGGGCCTATATTTCGATTCCAAAAATGGCCCCATCACGGCAAAGACAATGTAGCCAATCGGAAATAGTGAAGGATATTCTCGAAGAGCATGCAAAGGTCGGTGGAGCCTTCACAGGATGGCTGCAGGCGAAATGTTTCATTCCAGCTCCTCATTACAATGATAACATCTGGGCCAGTCCAAGTCCCCTGCAACCCCTGCAGTCAGCGTTAAAGTGACAAAAGCAAGGTGGGCCAGAGAACCCAAAAGCATGACGGCACACAGCACGCCTTTTAATCTTGTGGTGTGGGCAGCTGTGCTCTGCACGAAATCGACGTAAGATCTGTACTGAAGCATCGTGCGCACTGACGGTATCAGGGGCCACAATTCACCACAGCATGCTGTGTCAGCTACGTCTACATTCTTCTAGTCGCTTTTTCTGCTAATGTAATTAATTCCGTCCCATCTTATCTATTTCTGCGTTCTCATTTCGTTTGCTAGAGACCCCTAGAAAAATGTGACCACACCCAATCCCCTGCGACCCCTGCGGTCAATGTTGAAATTTGTCAATGTTTGAATACCGATCGAACAGACATCAATAGACATGAAAGGCTTTCATTCTGGGAGGTCTCCTCGATAGACATCAAACATTTATTCTGAAAAGTCCGCGGCATGTCAACATTGACTGCAGGGGTTCAAGGGGATCCCCTGCGGCTTTTCTTTCAACTAAGCAGCTGCACCTGCCAACAAACAGTACTGGGCCTTCCACAAACGCGCGTCGTACTACGCAATCATGAAGAGACATGCAAACTCAGATGTATAAACTGGTTCGCTCAGGCGCACGCCAAAAGCTGCATCGCAACCCTGGCGTCCATTCGGCAGGTGAGTTGTTACACGCTCCTTAGATGTATTGGACTTCCATGACCACCGTTCTGCTGTCAAAATGAAGAAAAACCTGTTGTGGCATCTGGAACATTTAAGCACCTTAGCCCAACGTTAAATTCATCCCTCATCGCCAGTTCTGCTTGCCAAAAAACGGCCCACTTCTTCCACAAAATTTGCACGAGAGGCTTTCGCTCAGGCTCACGCCAAAAGCTGCATCGCAACCCTGGCGTCCATTCGGCAGGTGAGTTGTTACACACTCCTTAGATGTTTTGGACTTCCATGCCCACCGTTCTGCTGTCAAAATGAACCAAAACCTTTTGTGGTATCTTGAACGTTTAAGCACCTTAGCCCAACGTTAAATTCATCCCTCATCGCCAGTTCTGCTTGCCAAAAACGGCCCACTTCTTCCACAAAAATTTGAGGCTCACGCCAAAAGCTGCATCGCAACCCTTGCGTCCATTCGGCAGGTGAGTTGTTACACACTCCTTAGATGTTTTGGACTTCCATGACCACCGTTCTGCTGTCAAAATGAACCAAAACCTTTTGTGGTATCTTGAACGTTTAAGCACCTTAGCCCAACGTTAAATTCATCCCTCATCGCCAGTTCTGCTTGCCAGAAACAACAAGAACAGATCAGGTTAGACATTATCGCAGCTGCAGCAACAGGAACTTGTTTTGGTAGAAGAAACAACTCTATACGCACTACGTTGCTACGCAAGGGCCTGCCTCATACCACAACCTCATACCAGGACCCCGAAGCGAATGTTACAACCTGTCGCCGGGGGGAAAAAAAAAAGGTCCAGCTTTCAACTGCTGCACTCATCTGGGCGCCTGCCACCGCAAAAATGCACATTTTCACCTGGGAGTCTGCCACCGCAAAAAAAAAGGTTAAGAAGGTTCAGCTTTCAACTGACGCACTCATCTGGGAACCTGCCACCGCAAAAAACCACAGAAGGTGTAGCTTGCAAGTGTCGCATTTTCATCTGGGAGCCTGCCACCGCAAAAACGTCAAGAATATCCAGCTTGCAGCTGTCACATTTTCACCTGGGAGCCTGCCACCGCAAAAAAAAAGGTAAAGAAGGTTTTGTTTTCAACTGCCACACTCATCTAGGGGCCTGCCACCGCAAAACCGTCAAGAATAGGCAGCTTGCAGCTGTCACATTTTCACCTGGGAGCTTGCCACCGAAAAAAAAAGTAAAGAAGGTTTAGTTTTCAACTGCCACACTCATCTGGGAGCCTGCCACCGCAAAAACGTCAAGAATAGGCAGCTTGCAGCTGTCACATTTTCACCTGGGAGCCTGCCACCGCCAAAAAAAAGAGCAAAGAAGGTTCAGCTTTCAACCGCCACACTTATCTGGGAGCCTGCCACCGCAAAAACGTCAAGAATATCCAGCTTGCAGCTGTCACATTTTCACCTGGGAGCTTGCCACCGCAAAAAAAGGTAAAAAAGGTTTAGTTTTTAACTGCCACGCTCATCTGGGAGCCTGCCACCGCAAAAACGTCAAGCATATATCCAGCTTGCAGCTGTCACATTTTCGCTTGGGAGCCTGCCACCGCAAAAGAAAGGTCAAGAAGGTTCAGCTGGGAGCCTGCCACCGCAAAAAATCAAGAATATCCAGCTTGCAGCTGTCACATTTTCACTTGGGAGCCTGCCACCGCAAAAAAAAAAGGTCAAGAAATTTCAGTTTGCAACTGTCACGCTCATCTGGGCGCCTGCCACCCGAAAAAGGGAACAAATGTGCAGCTTGCAAGTGTCGCATTCTCATCTGGGAGCCTGCCACCGCCTAAACGTCAAGAATATCCAGTTTGCAGCTGTCACATTTTCGCCTGGGGGGGGCCTGCCACCGCCAAAAAAAAAAGTAAAGAAGGTTAGCTTTCAACTTTCAACTACCACAGTCATCTGGGAGTCTGCCACCACAAAAAATGAACAAATGTGCAGCTTGCAAGTGTATCATCTGGGGGCCTGCCATCAAAAAAATGTCAAATCCAGATTGCAAAACAGAAGGTGGGATAGATTAGAACTTTTTTTTCACACAAAGGAAGATTGATATGATTTTAAAAAAAACCTTATTCTATCCCACCTCGACAAAAGTTCATCTACCAGATTTCAGGAAACTGGGAATTTTTTGTTGGTTTACTTCCAGGTGAGAATGCGACAGCTGCAAGTTGATTTTTCCTGTTATTTTTTTTCCGGTGGCAGGCTCCCAGGTGAAAATGTGACAGCTGCAAACTCGATATTATTGACGTTTTTGCGGTGGCAGGCTCCCAGGTGAGTGCGGCAGTTGAAAACTGAACCTTTTTAGATTTTTTTTTTGCGGTGGCAGGCTCCCAGGTGAAAATGTGACAGCTGCAAACTGGATATTTTTGACGTTTTTGCGGTAGCAGGCTGCAAATATGTAGAATCCCAAATAAGGATCTTTATGCTCGCGTGCGTGCAGTCTACTTACCGCGAAACAACGAGTTACACCTTACTACAACGTCTCCCCGTCAAAAACGTCGTAAACAACCAGCAAAACCGAAATCACATGGTTGCTTCCCTTGAAGCAAAACAAAGATGTCACATGTTGTGACTGCTTCTTACAAACAAAACAAACGAACTCACTCAAACTGATTTGTTTTGAGTTGGTTGGTTTGAAAAAAATTGTTCTCGTGGTGAATAAGCCATGAAACAAAAAAACGAATTCCGCTCATCCGGTGGTGACATTTCATGTCATGTTGAAAATGACGTAAATTACTCATTTTCAGACAAACCTATATTATATATATATATATATATATAAGTTACCGGCTAAGACGCCAAGTCTAGAAGTCATCCTTCCAAGTTACGCGCAGAAAAAAACGCATGTGAAAATAAACCAAAAATAACATGTGACATGCGGACATGTGAAAAACTGCCGTCGACAAGTTGAAGCTGAAACACACTTGCACATTCAGTTTTCTTTTTCCTGTCAAAGCATGGGGAAAATCTTAA